GGGGGGGTATTTTGGGGAAGAAAGAGGTGCATGAATTTAGCACAAAAATAATCTAATATTTACTTCTGCAAGAATTCCCATCACTACAATATTCATGTTAATGTAACTAGATGAATAATAGCTGGAATTGTGCAAACTACTGTAATTATACAGATTTTATGGAAGGAAAATTGCAGTTTCATTCCATAAAAGCCTTTTTTTGAGCAGCCTTGAGAAAATCTGTCTTAGTGTGTGCCTAAATGTTGTAACTCTGAGTTTAATAAGTTTTCAAGAATGTCAAAGCATAACAATTATGCTGCATTTTGTTGTACACCAAGCATTATTTAAAAGAAGAGACAAGGACGCTGACAGCTCAAGTGCCTTTATTGGGACCAGAATAACAGTTCAGAGCCACTCATTGTTAACATGGATGGCTTCTCCTAAAAAAAATACAAAAAGAATGGGGGCTAGATATTAAATACGCAACACTTGAAAAGCTAAGATGGTGACCGGGAGACACAGGTTAGTGACATCATTCATCCTCATCCCAGTCCTTCTTTCCTTGTGGAGCTTTGGGTCCACCAGCCGGCTTGGCCATTATAATCTGTGGAGGAGAACAGACATTGTCAGACACATACAGAGTAAAAGACAGTCAATTGTGCACAGTGCAATATCCTGTGTGGAAAAAGTGCTTTTAGTGCAAACGGCATGCAAGTAAATTGTGCCAAAATCCCCAGATGACATTCCAAATGTCACAGAGAATGGCATAAGTTAGTGATGCTCGTGAAGAAAAATAGATCTTGAACTTAGGTTTAAAACAAACAGTCAGGAGACAACCATTATACTCATTATCACTAATTAAAAGGGGATAGTTCAACCAAATATGAAAATAGTGTCATCATTTACTCACCCTCATGCGGTTCCAAACATGTTGGAGTTTCTTTCTTTTTTTGAACAATGTTAGTAACCGAACAGTTGCTGGTAGCCAGTATTTTTTTTCCATACTATGGAAGTCAATGGCTACCAGCAGCTGTTTGGTTCAAAACACATTCTACATTCTTCAAAATACCTTCTTTTGTATTCAACTGAAGAACAAAACTCGTGTTTAGAACAACTTGAGGGTGAGTGAATTATGACCATTTTCACTTTTGGGTGAGCTATACCCAACTTAAACTGTTAACTAATGCTAAATGGCATAACTTTTTTATCTGTGTGTGGTGGAACGACAGGCTAGACTAATTTCGTCAACAAATTCATGGTGAATTTCCACACAGTGTTCATGCAACCCGATTCACACTCCAGTGGTTAGGCACTCCAAACAGTGGTGTTTTTGTGCACCTTAGCAATTATTTAGGATTTCTTATCAATGATGTGTATCAAATTTGTCTGGCTCCTCATCCCAACCGTCTTTGTCCCAGTGTCCTTGCTGTTTGGGGGCTTTGGGTCCCCCTGCTGGCTTTGCCATAATGATCTGGCATACACACATCACATTATAATCCAGAAAGTAACAGGCTAACAAAGCACCTAAATTGATAAACATGAATGGAATAAGAAACTGAAAGATACATAATTGTAAAGCTAACCTGATCCACACGGAGAACAGTGATGGCTGCGTTTGTGGCCAATTTGATTCCCCAGTGCTTGACCAGGTATGGATCGAGGATACCAGCCTCCATCATGTCCCTCACTACAGGCCCCTCTCCCTGAATGGTTTAAAACAAGTATATAGTCATCAATTACACCTTAAAATGCATTATTTTGAGTCCTTCTTTCTATTTATATCAGGTCTGCTGCCTCCAAATTAGTAACAGCTTCTTTTCCCCTCACCTCAATATCAAAGCCAGAGTTCTTGTTGCCCTCGTGGTGCGCGGCGTACAGTTTGGAAATCAGCTCATTACCCTTGACGCCAGAGTTCTCTGCCAGAGCACGGGGCAGCACTTCAAACGCCTCTGCGTATTTCTTGATGGCGTACTGCTCCAGGCCTGGGCAAGACTTTAGAGGACATGTTCAAATTATTTACATTCTTCAGGTTTTGCCAACAGCAAAATGAGATGAGATTGATTTGCTTACTTCTCCATAGGAGGTGATGTGTTTCGCCAGCTCAATTTCAGTGGCACCAGCACCCGGACAAAGACGTGCGTCCTGAGTGGAAATGTTTTTGTTAGGGTCACATTTTGTCATGATTTAAAGACTTTCATTAGAAGTGTTTTTTGGGGTGGAGTTTTAAAGTAGCTCACCCTGACAAGGACTTTAAAGGTGTTAACTCCATCATCGATGGCACGCTCAATGTCATCCATCAGGTTGTCTGTGGACCCACGAATTACTAAAGTAGAGATGGCACCATCCTCTTTATCTAGAAATAAAAGGAGTGAGATGACATGAGCTGTCTGGATACATCACTGCCAGACTAAACAATATTTACAAAGATCAGTTTGCCTAAGAAGCTACAAAATCAAGAAAAAAGTCACAAAGACATCTATCTGCATGGCGTGTTGGTGATTCTTTAATGTTTTTATTGCGTTGACAGTTTTTCTTTTGTTTAATACATTTGGTCTTTGCTAAATCTAGAAAAGATGATGCATTGGCTATGACTAAGAGAGATCATTCAAAACTCTCGTTATGATTTTTTTTTCTTTTTGTAGATTCTGCTCAGAGTGAGCCAACCTTTTTTTTTCTTCTCGTTAACCAATATCGGAATTGGCCAATAGCTGTTTGGTAAAATCAGTATCGGCCAAAAAAAAAAAAAATTCCTATTGGTGCATTTCTAATATATATATTATGTTTTTACCAAACAGCTATTGGCTAATTCCGATATTGGTTAACGAGAAAAGAAAAAAAAAAGATTGGTTCACTGAGCAGAATCTACAAAAAGAAAAAGAAATCATGAAGAGAGTCTTGAATGATCTCTCTTAGTCATAGCCAATGCATCATCTTTTCTAGATTTAGCAAAGACCAAATGTATTAAACAAAAGAAAAAACTGTCAACGCAATAAAAACATTAAATAATTTTTTTCAAGATGTTTTCAAAAATGTTTCAGCATGGATTAAAAATGCTACTCCTATAAGCGTTGATTTTGAGAGGAAAAAAACAGCCTAAATTAGTAGGCTGTATGTTGCATTTTATTATTACATTATAAATGTAGGCTAAAATAATGGTAAATAAAAGCAAAATTACACAATTAGGCTATTTTAGTTCCCTTCTCTCCACAACAAATCCTCTAAAGTTGTATTTAGGCCTAATATAAGCGTTTTACTGGTTGGATGCATCAGCGTCACGTTTGCATAGGCCGTACTATGCCGTCTGAAAAACGATATTTTGTAAAGATTTTATTTTGTTTTGGCAAATATTTAATTAATTTGCCCAGAGAAAAACGTTGGATTATGCAACAGACATGCAACTTGTTGTCTCCATGCAGTTAATTAGTAAACCATCGGTAGTGAACCAAACTGAGAGACCATTTTGAAGGCTCAGGAAACCTTTGCAGGTGTTATGAGTTGATTAGCTGACCATATTCTAATTTGTTGAGATAAATGAACTTTTCCACGACATTCTAATTTATTGAGATGCACCTTTATATACACACACACACATATATATATTATGTATAGCAAGTAAAAATAGTGTTAGATTTTCCTTACCATGTTTGAAGACCACAACCTGAGTATCTCCAACTTCAGAGAGGTACACACTGTCACAGTGTCCCATCTCTTCTGGGGTCGGGGGAGTCTGTTTTGAAAAATCAGATAAAAAAAAAAATAAAAAAAAATCTGTTTTGAAAAAAAGATTGAGACTGACAGAGAGACCATAATGATGTCAACTGGCTTGTCACCAACTCACATCATACAAAATGCACTCATGAAACTTAACTCTAAATAACTCACCAGTCTGGGCAATGCTGTGGCTCCCACAGTTTTGCATAGTCTTCTGAGGTCCCACTTTGAATTCAGCCTGGGTGAAGTACAAACAGCATTCATACATTTTGCTTTTATTCTCATTTAACAAGCCAACACATAAAAAAAACCTGAAAAAATGCTGAATCAAGCAGCACAAAAAAGGCGGCATCTTCCTCTCTCACCTGACCACCATGAGCTTGAACTTGTTGGCGTAATGAAGGGCCATGTCAGCGACTTTGCCCCCAGTCACGACCACATTGGCCCCTGAATCAGCGATAGACTTCACCTGGGCCTCCATCATGTCCTCTTCTCCTTTACTGAAATTCATGA